AGGTAGGAGAGAGAGAGAGAGAGAGAGAGAGAGAGCAGCAAATTCATGGTATTAAAAATCTTTGAGCTGCATCTGAAAAAACATCTCAGGAGAACACCATCTTCAAGATGGGGCATGTTTAACAGTATTAAAATTGTTATGTGCATGAAAGCTGGGTTTTACAGAAAGGCCCGCATGAACTTCTTGACATCTAAAGGGTCAACAAAATTGAAGATAAATACATCAATGCAAGACAGAAAGGTATGATACATGCAGAGGCAGAAAAAATTGTACATAAAACCATGCTGAAAAAGTCCATCTCTGCTTCTCACACACACACCCACCCACATACACCCCCACACACACACGCACACACTCAGAAACAATCTTAAAAATAATTTTCACAGAGGCAAATCCTGGCACCTTTGCTGTATTGCATACTAGGGCAACTCAAAGAGATCACACATCCTAGAATTGACCTTTTTCCTGTTTCAGCCATGCAACCACTGATTCTACTGATATTCAATATGACTACACAAACATATGGTTGGTGTTTGCAATCACGGTCTAGAAATATGAAAACATTAATTCTGGCTTTGGAAAGAAAATGAGGACAAATTCGAGACTAGGTGATCTCTTGAGAAGTCCTCATGCCGATTCCTATGCTTAGCAGCCACTAAATCACGTCCAAGGCCTTCCCCAAAAAGGTCATTTAACTTTAAAGCTCTTTTGGGATTGGGTGCACTAGTGCTTTAGAATTCCATGCAATCTCATTAACTTTCAAGCAATTTAAGGCTTTTCAAGTTTATTTTAACATAAATATCAAGAAATGCCAAAGGTAAAATATGCAATAAGACTATTTACCTTTAGTACAAGGAGGTCATAATCATTTTCAGTAATTGGATATGAAATTGGGCATCTGGAGGTGTGCCAATAACTAGGGTCAAAGTTTCAAAGAAAATCTTTCAAACTTTGTGACATATCTGTAGTTGTCAAATTTTACATCAGACAGCTAAAAGTGATTATGACCTCTTTGTGCCAAAGGTAAATGCTCTCATAGTATACAATCCCAATGCCAAATAATAAAATATGTTTCATATCCAATAGAATCTCTGCAACAAGTACTCTTTGTGAACTAGATACCACGGGTTGCCAGTTCATGGCATCAGGACAGCTTGCTTGTTAAGTTAGTATTGTGAAGAGATGAAAAGGTATAGGAGCAATGCAAATTAAGATTCACGCAAACAAATTAAACTACAGAAAAAAATAGCACAAAGTTTTGCTTACCACATGGTCAAGAAGATGATCTGATTTTGATCAATCTTCATATTCATCCTTGTTTTCAAAATTTCTCTTGACTGGATGCTTTCTAAAAGTTTAATTACCAAAAATGCATGGCAGAAGCATCAAGATGATAATGCTGTCCCCATGGGAAAAAACTATACCAAAAAACAGCAGAAAACTAAATGTTGGTGGCTTACCACTGCAATAGTTGAAGGAGCTAACAATTTCTCCAAATGAAGATTGCTAAGCATGTTTGACACCCTTTTAAGCATTGGTGCCTGCATAGAGACAAAAAAACAGTTGCTTGTCATTAGGCAATATCTCACATGGTTGATAACCATCAGATTTGCAGTTACTTTCTTGTACCTCCATGATGAACTTCCAATAATAACATTCTCCAGTATAAAATGGTGCCCATCATATTTCATTCCAAAGCAATGAAATGTCATATCAAGGTTCCTCATGCATAAAGCATGATAGATACCAATTAAGAAATGATGCAGATTACAGAGTTCAGCCAATTCAGTCCCTAAATTATCTTAAATGGAATAACTGAAGAGTATCCAAAAGAATCTCAAATTAGAGAAGTAGGCTATAAGAACAACACCAATGGACTATGATAAATCATAGTCCATTTGGTTCACAACCAGATGGTGAAGCATAACGGGATGCACCCTGAGGAGTATTTCCTTTTCTGAAGGCTTTCGCATTTGGCCCACCGCCATCAATATGCTTGAATGATTATGGCCCTAATGGACTGTGGTTTTACATAGTTCATTGGATTAGCATACATTCCCCCCGAATAATGGTGAAGATGAACATGGGAATCTTTCTTCTAACAAGAAGGTGAGCAAAAGATTCTCACCTTAAGGTGCAGAAATCCATGCCTCACCAATATATTATTACTTAGCATGATAACTTCCATTAACCAATTCTATATCCTTGCAGAAAAGTTCAGGGAAGCATACATATAATCAAATGGAAAGAACGCATAACACATCTATACAAGAAATTTTAAGCCAAAGCTTAGATTAGTGGCATATATTTTAAAAAATTGACAATAACATAAACTTCACCAGGACTGCAGGATACTTAAAAGCAAATAGAACATACGAACAGGGAAGACATTTCATCATATATCCAACTAATTTTATTCTACGTAAAAAGATAAAAACATGATCAAATACTCATATATCAAACAATAATTGATGTTACAAAGCATGGTTGTGATTTAAGACAAGAAGACCCACCTTCTGCTTATGAGGAGTTTCCGTACTTCTAATCAAAGATATTGTAATCTGATTCTCATTATGCACAGAGCTCAAGAGTCTTTGGCATGAACTTTCTCCAACCGCATGGCCATTTTCAGGCAAATTTGAAGGTTCTTCAGGAAAACTGCACGTATATGTGCTCTCAGCTGCACCATTCTGTCCTTCAGTTTCATTAGTGCTTCCATTTGCATACATGCGTAAGATATTGTACGTATAAGACCAGATAAAAATGGCACCTATCTGAGATTTTCAAATCAAACAGAACATAGTAAAATTGTGAGAAAAATTAATAGCATGGACTAAAACTACATATGCAAATAACAATGCATATGCTTTAACTCATAAGCTACACCAAAATGGTCTAGCAATATGCATAAGACACTCAAATAGTTTGTAACTTGATAATGCAAGGAAAAGGTCATTCGCATCACGATTTATTCAATTGAACATCATACCGCCATGGAAAGTGCTGCATAAGCATTTCCATAGGAATCACATGTATCAGCATCACCGAAAGGACTCCCTTGTTCTTGGCACAATGCTGGGACGATAATGAGAAGCAGGTTCCCCAAATTTCCTATTTCCATCATAAACAAAACACAGCATGGAACCATTTTATCATTAGAAATATACTCCACACAAAGAATTGAAGCCTAGAGAAATAAGCAGGTTCCCCAACGTTCCTATTTCCATCATAAACAAAACACAGCATGGAACCATTTTATCATTAGAAATATACTCCACACAAAGAATTGAAGCCTAGAGAAATAATTCCAGAACAACTAATTTCGTTAAGCAACGATGGTTTGTAATTGTGTTACATATATATATAGGAGTTCATACAAATTTATATTTGTAACAAATTTATGAAATGTCTAATTGGACATCGCATTTGAACATCTAATGGATTTTGAGTCCATAGATTCCATCACTGGACCACAACCCCATATTATGGAGACCAGACCCTCGTATATATCATATATATCTTTATAATGATAGCTGACCCCAAATAGTTGGGATAAGGCTCGGATGATGATGATGATGATGATATGATGATATAACTATATAATGATGATGATAACTTTAATATTACATACTTTAATAATCATAAAAAAAAACATAAAGAACTTGTATAATAGGGCACTTATCGTTTCAAAATTATTCCTTTTCAATTTAATTTCATAATTTGTAGTCTTAAATTAATATAACCACATGACATACTGTGTACAAAGAAATTTTGAACTGATGTTATGAGTACCAACATCCATGTTGATTTCCATAGCGACCCAGAAAAACAAAACTACATAAATACAGAAAACTATATGGTTCTTACCTGCAGAACAAGTAGAAATGATGAGACCTCTCAAATGAGGAGGAGGCTTGGTAATTTTTATAAGCACGCACCCAAGAGCAGAACCAACAATAAATGTGAGAAGAATATTAATGGGCATGAACCACCTACAACATACATAAAAAAATATTTATCATTTTGCAAATTAACGAACGTGTCAGTAAAAGTAAAACACAATGATATAATTCCTACAGCGACAATATAAATAAGGAAAAGTATACAATGAAACCATTTACCTTTGGTATAAGGTGGTCACAATTAATATTAACCATTGGACGCGAAATTGGATGGCTGCATTTATTCCATTGACCAAGCTCAAACTTCAAAAGAAATTTTCTTGAACTTTGTGACACACCCATGCTATTAAATTTCTCATTAGATGGTTATAAATAATTGTGACCTCCTTGTATCAAATGCAAATAGTCACATTGTATACAACCCTATAAATAAAGTTAAAATAACATTTTTAGTAAGTGTTGTTGAATGAAGTATGTTTGATATGAATCTATGAAGTTCAATCCAAAATACCTACATGGTTTGAAATTTCCTCAAAAGTGTAGATAGTAAGATCAAAAGATAATACACTAGAAAAAATGATTAGAACTAGAATAAAAAATCTGATAAGGTTCTTTTTCACTTTACATAGAACTCAACAATATATGTACCTGAAATCTATTGAAGGCAAGAATGTGAAACACAGGGAACCAAAAAACAACATTATACAGGCCTCAGACAACAGTATATTAGTGAAAAGACATTTCCAACAAGTATTGAAGATAACTACAGAAGTACAAGTCCATGATAATGATCATATAACAGACTTCTAGACTTAAGTTGCTGAGACACCCCTAAGTGGATATTGTACCAAATGAAACAGAATAAAATACATAATAAAAGAACTTACCTGTCAGTCTCAGAATATTGGCAATCATAAAAAGACTGTTTTGTGAAAGACATGTAAAATAATACCATCAGGTAATGCATGTCGTTCAACTATAAAAAGAGAGACTGTGAGTAATGTTTCAGTCAAACCCTTCCAGAAAGCTATCCAGAGTGAGCACGGAGTTTAGTTCCTAAGTACCCTTCTGGGGTACCCAAGTGCTACTATGTTTCACCCCTTTAGGATGATTAGAACCCTCGATAAATTTCTTACTTGTGAATTTCATATGTGTAACTGACTGATGCTCTTGAGTTCATTGTCAAACAAAAATAGCTGTTTGTAGCGATATCTTAACAATCTCGTAAATTCCATTGCATTCTAATTCCCTCATTTTGCTACTACCCATTATCAAGGTGACAACGTCCTCCTAATTTGGCCTCAATAGCAAATCTCCCCGCCCTCCCAACATCCCATGTATACCATCAATAAAAATGGTTAACAATGCGCTTGTCAAGTAATGTGTGAAGCGTACCTAAAACATAAGGTGCAAAAAAAATGTTCATGCATAAGATTGAGGTAAGAGTAGTGAAAGGCGGATACCTACGAGTCTAAGGCATGCATCTCAAGCAAAATCATGCATCAAACACATCCAAATGAAGTGGTAAAGAAAAAGGTAAAAAATGTAAACGTGCCGCAAAGAAGTTCTCTAAAATAGGTGAGAGCCCAGGGCCACCTGACATTGTTTTTGGTTTGCATGGACACAGATAGGGCATGGGACCTCAATGAATACACTATAATAAATTCCTTCATAACCATCAGAGATCATCACATCGATTGTTCCGAGAATTAAACCTCATAGTTAACATGAGATTCACTGAATTAATTCAGGAAAAATGCATCAAATTGGCATTAATAAGAAATATTTAAGTTTTTTGAATTACCGAAAATATTCGGTTACACGTCATCCGTTAAACGATGTTGCCTGAATACTCTATCTTAACAAGTAAGATTGTAAGAACGATAGTTACTTTAAAACATACTAAAGGTCCATATCTGAAGTAGTATCAAGTAAATTATATATGATTAATGTATAATCAAGTAATAGAAATTCAGGGTTTCCCCTTTTCTACCATTTTTCTGCTGGGTCAGTTTAGGGTGCAATCACGGCCGCACCCCAAACCCTTCAATGCTGACACCGTCTTTTTCATGGAGAGAAGCAAAAATAAAACTAAAAGACCTGTCAATAAATGTCAATCACAAGAAAATGGATTTGGAGCACCTAAGAAACTCAACATTTGACTGATCGATCATCCATTAAATTGATGACCAGATTTTGAGATGGAAGTCGAGATGGAGTACTTTAGGGCATCAAGTGCAACTTTTCTAGGAAATTGTTTTTGGAGGGTAAGAGAATTGATTTACAGCATCCTGGGTCCTCATCCATTAAGTAAAAAGGAGAAATGAGGTGCAGCCTCATGGTTTTGGGTCTGTCTGCAGCAGCACCAAACCAATTTCCTTTGCTATTTTTTCATTTTTCTAACTGGAAATTTCCAATAATTGCATACATGACCTGCCATTTATGCCTCAAGCACTGATTCTGCATCTGTCCTTACCATTCATGATCTTAGCGCATAATTCTTGGATATTTCATGGTAAGAACGCACTCCATTCTTTTCAAAAATGACAAACAGACAAGCATTCATGTGTCAGCCTTGCAAAGGATCGAGGATAACCTCTTTAAGTAATATATTCTTATAAACTATAGAATGCGCCAAGGATTGTGAAACACATAACCATGATTAGCGATCTAGAGATGTTAGAACTCTGTATTTATTTAGAAAAAAGTTCTCACACATTATCCTTGTCTGCTGGGAACATAATTGTCACTACTATGTGTAATCAGAGGCAAGGTTGCGTTTTTACCATTGTGAATTCTGTAACACTATGCAGATAGGATTCTCAAATTGGCAGATAATACAAGTAGTGACTTCGGGAACTCACAACAACATTAAGCTATTCCATGTGATTGTCTTGGAGAGCTTTGAATACACTAGAGCTGGAGTAAATACAAAGAATACAACCTGTATTTCAAAAGTTCGAAGAAAAGGAGTTAGTCATGGGAATATTTTATTGTATTTAGTAGTCCTGAATTGGTAAAATAACTATGAAACATGTAAAAAGCACAATTGAATGCAAGAGAACCATATTATCCACAGAAGACCAAAGTAAGAGAGGTGGTTTATTCCTGGTCAGTAAATGACAGCATATAAGAAACTTTTCTAATGAAAAACCATAAGTCAGATGTCAACTAGCTTTTGTAAAGTACCACACTAACAACAAGCCGGAAGTAAACCAGACTAAAAGTAATGACAATAGTCACGAAGTGAAAAGCAGACAATCGACTAACAAAATTGGCAAGTGTCAACAGCACAAAATGTTTGCAAATAAAATACTAACTTGGCGAGTAAAGTTCAGCTAAACCCAAGCTAAAAATCAAGTTAATAAGACAATCCCCTACGTGACCCCAGAAATTCCAGCAGTAAGACTCTTAATCTTGATATGCAATACTAAATGCAATAATGTAGGAAGCATGAATTCTTAACAGTATTTTTCTCTGGCCTGTTATTGATCAAAACAATAACCAAACAATACTACCATAATCTGTGGCAAACTTGAAAGAATCCGTCCATGTACATTGGTAGTGTTGAAAAAGAGGCAAAATTACTAAACCATGCACATCACCCGCACCTTATAAAATAGACTGGTTACAAATTCTATGCTTTATTACAAAAGAAATTGTCCAATGGGGTCTCCAAGAGCACATAGAAGTATTTCCCAAAATTCACGTGTGTCAATTATTGATTATTTTTCCAAATGCTTCTCTCATGCTGACAATACAATTCTCTTATTCTAACCAGGAACTTTTTTCTTACAGTTCATATGGAAGATAAGCTTTATAAGCTTAACAGGTGGTACCAGAAAAGCCAATATCATCACCAATTCAAATACCCCAGTTAAATAATTTAAAGACATGGAAAGAGAAAAGGAAAAGAAAGAGAAAGTCAAAAAAGAAGACCATGAAATACACGTATCAACAGCCTAAAATCAAAAACAAAATTAATCACAGGATCTCCCTTCACACTCTCAAAATCTTAACTCTTCGCTAACAGTAATTCCAAGCAATAGCATCAAGAGCCAATACTACCACCAATTCAAAACATGGTACCTGAGAAATCCCCAAAACTCAAATAACAAAAGAGAACACCTAAGGCAACAGTCACGCACAATCTTAACTCAAAACCCAACTTAGCTGAACCAACTTTCTCAATCACTTTGAAGTTAACTAATTGGAAGCGGTGGATTCAGGAGCAAATTTACTACAAAGCACAAACTTTTTCAATGAATGAATTCAACTACCAATTAAATAGAATACAACTAGATAACCAAAAAGAAAATATAAAAATCTAAAAGAAGGGGAAGAACGTAAAAAAAAAAAAAGAAGATCACAGGCCTCTTCATTAACATCATTGATTCCTAGTAATACTAAAAAGATCTGTAAATTGAAAGAGAACCCACTCGGTTCAAATGCTCCTTCGCCTCTGGTCCAAGAATGTCTACACGACCTAAGGCCAAGAACGACCCAAGTGCAGTTATAATAAGCACTTTGACAACAGGCTTAGCTGCAACAAGAAGAAGTTCCAAAAGCTCCATGATAAAGTCCTCCTTGTTCTATCCAGTCTCCTCCACTAAGAAGAAGAACCCAATCTCAGCTCAACAGAATACTGACTTACACCCTTTGAAACATCCGTTTATGACTCGACCTGAAAACCCAAAAAACGCATTAAAATCAAGAACATGAAATTGAAATGAAAGCACGTTTAAAACATCAGTCAAACAATTCAAGTTTCAGAACATATAAAATAGCCCACTACTGCAACAATTTATTTATTTTTTCCTTCTTGATGTAAGAAGTAAGTTGTAAAGGACAAAAAGCAATGAGGAAATAGGAATATTACAATTCACAGGTGCAAGTTTGCAAGTTGGCAGCAGAAAATACTTCTACTAGCAGTCTCTTAACGACCACAGCAATCGTACGGATTTGTAGACTGCACATTAAGTCAATAATTTACGACGCCTTTTTCTCTCACAGTTCGTTTTCATTAGGGATAATTTTTTTTTTCCATTTTCATAAGTGATGTTATATAATATTTTACAAATTTTTTTACTTTGGTGGCGAAAATGGAAAACCATGAAAAGCTTTCTTTTTTATGTCTAGAACACTTCTTTATGTGATATTATATGATTTCTAATTTATCTTTTCGGTAAATAATTTATGTGAAGTTATATATTTTTGATGAGTACCTCCATTTTTTTCAAAAATTCTCATTAAAATCGATATAAATCTCTAAAAAAAAGTTATCACAAGACTTATTTTTTCCATAAATCGCCGCCAAATTTGTCCTACACGCATGATGGAGGAGAGTCCTATTAGGTCATTTCCCATTTTTAAATTATCACAGTTCTCTTTTTATATGATATTATATGATTTTTAATTTATTTTTTTTTGGTGGGAAAAAAGAAAAACACGTTAAAAAACTGAACTCACAAGAGGCGTCTGAGTTAAAAAACACGGTGACGGGACAATTCAGTTGGCCCGGAGTCTGAGGAGACCCCCTGTTAGTCACTTGGTCTAAAAAATGATAGTGAAAGCCTCACACCTATTAGCGCAGACCGGCACGCCTCACGATCCTTATGTGAAGCGTTTGAGAAAGAGGATTGGCTGTATAGATCAGCCTCATTGAAATCCAGTTCGGAATGGCAGATCGACTGTATGCATAATGTCAAAACCAAAAACAAAAAAAAAAAAAAAAATTAAAAAAATTAAAGATAAAAAATGGGGCCAAATCTGATAGTTCTATTAGAAAAACTGGCTAATTCCCTTGCATATGGTGGGACCGGACCACTCCCATCATTCCCGATTTCGACCAAGAAATTCTAATCCAAATCGACATTTTTTGATACACTGGTCGGGATGAGAGTATGATTTGGTGAATTATTGTCATCCATCTATGGATTAGACTATTGTGAAGTGATTGTGGAGATACTGATGCATAAATAACACGTTTATGGGACTCACTCTTATGAATATTCAACCCACATTGATGCCATAGTGATACCTTGTGGTCATCATGTTACATGCGATAATATGACATTAGAAAATCAAGAAATTGATCATCTGGACTTTGAAAATTATAATTTTGAAAAAATTAAATTTCAAGTTCTACAGCAAGTAGATCTTGTGACACATTTTTTGAATGGTTCATTTCAAGATCCACAAAATCTACCTTTTTTATTTTTTAGAGTGGGTCTCATGGGGGTCCACTTAAAACTATCGACATAACGAGCAGAATATTACTGCCATGTGACTTTGATCAAACAACTCAAAATTCTTGTCATTAGGCCAGTATTTCCTCTTACATTGGTCACGTACTTGATATCTAATTTCTTTTACATGTAATTATGACTAATTAGTGTTTCAAAAATTCCCAATCTGGATTGCAAATGAGTAGGCCTGACCTAGTTCCTCGTTTCATATGAGCTCTCCCAATTAAGTAAGAGAACTGGCCAATTCTATCTAAGAACAAGTCGATCTTCAGCCGAGTCTAGATCGCACTAACTTTAAACTTATATTTCTCTCAATTTATCCAAATTTAAAATTATTATTTAAATTATATTATGGACCAATCACACACTGGATAATCAGTCTGATAGTAATCCAGAACGGTCCAGCAGTTGACCAATCCTGCCTCCCAACCTAAGTTTTAAGTCCGGCGATCAATCCCACACAAAATTTTCGCATTCTAAGTAGAATATTTCAACTCACGAAGTTTGGTGCACCACTCACAAGTTTGCTCTTACTTTTCCCATTTTAATTGGAATTTGGACTCCATAATCAAGATTCATATATCTACTGCCCATATATCAAGGTTTGGATCCTCAAAAAAAAAATTCTAATACTGAGATGACTAGAAGGTACATTTAGTTGGAAGATTCATTTTTTATTCGAACAAAAAATAAGGTAAAAATAAAAAAAGGTGCGAGCCTAGGCTCTAAACAATCAAATTAGAGCCTACCTTCAAATAGTGTCGAGAAATGTAGTTTCAACACATGAAATCATTGTAATAGCCTTAAAATATATTTTCAATTTTATTTATAAAGTTTAAGTTTAAAGCTTCAAAAATATGGTAAATCAACCAATCTATGAAAACTTGAATATCTTGAAAATTGATGGTCCAAAAATATGTTACAAAATACAATATTTCCAAAAACTTAATATCCATTTTGTTCTCATGTATACGTATCTTGAAGGCGAGATGATCAATTTGATGATATTTGGGCATCAAAATAACCTCTTCCACTGAAAATTTTGAGGAATAGGTTCGGTCTGGGTTGGCTCGAAACTCCGATCGAACTTTTTTTTTGGATAATTCAGTGGGAAAGACAAACCCCTACGTAGAAATGGATACCACAATATAATAACTGGATGAGGGGATGCTACCACCACGACCCCAACCCATTTCCTAACTCCAATCGAACTTGATTGGAATGGACATACATGACAAACCAAGTCCGCTTATCAAGCCTTGACGTGGACCCGGGTTAGGGTAACTAAGGGTTTTTCCACCCTTGGGTGAAGAATGTTGAATGAGTCAAATAAAAGGGGGATATTCTCCAACAGGGAGTGTAATTGTGGGTTTGATAATGGAGACGCGAAGTCGAGACTGTTAAAACAGTTGGGGTAAGGATTGGAGTAAGACTCGAACGATGATGAAGGTCAAGACCATGGTTCCGAAAGCTGGCTAGGCTCATCCAAACTAGCCTAGTCAGTCAAGCTAGGTCTCAAACCAGGTAAAGTTCAAGGCTTGACAAGTATTTACTGATCCGTCGTGTAGAATAACCCACCCAGTCGAGTCAATTCGTGTCTTGTTCGACTTAATCGTGGCTTATCAAGTCTCAGAAGTCACTTATTAAAAATTTGGAATTGGATCAATCATAATCAAGCCTTGAATTCCATGGGGTCAGATTCTGAGTCACACAATCCAACTCGAGCGATTGTTGAGTTGGATCGCGCCCTAATTAATAAATAAAAGAAAACAAAGGAAACCTATAAATACTGCAGTGACCCAAATTATCAGACAAGCCCACCCCCAACACTTTATAAATAACTTCACCAACGACAACCCTTATTTTTGCTTAAAATAACAACGGTCAGGTATATTCTCTGCCGGACCAATTTATTATCCTATTAAAACTGGTCTAACACCTATTGTATAAGATTCACTTTATTTTGAACAATGAAGTAGGTCTAGCAATGTGCGTCAGACTGGCTACTTGCCCTGTTAAAGCCGAACCAGCACATATTATACCAATCGGGCTTCAAAAAACAATGCAGCCGTACCAACACATAGTGTGCCATACCATCTTCAAGTTCCTAATAAAAACAGTTCATCACACATGTGCTACACCGACTTTATTTTCTTTTTTCGAGAAAGAAAGGCAAAAGAGTAGGTGGAAAATTGGCATTTCGAGCCTAAAGAATTATTTTTTCACTTCAAGGGTGGTTACAAACACAAATAATGTTCAGGCTAACGGTGTGGTAAAAAAAGCAATGGGAGTGTGCATGCCTACAAATTTAGGTGAATAGGGACTTCCATTACGAGTTCCTCGTACTTGAATCGCCAAACCCCTTAGTCCAACGGTGGAGATCATGAGTCGGATCAGGAATTATATATCACCCTTAAAGATTAAAAAAACGGGTGCTTTCGAGGTTCGAAAGGGACACTCTCTCCCATAGGTGAATCAAACTTGAGAACACTCAAATGTCTCTTTCACTTGACTAGGTAGGTCTCTGTATCTCTCTCTTAAGGTGAATCGAACTTGAATAATTGGGAACGGGATAGGAGTCGTGGAGTTTTTATTCTTACCCAAACCACCCGATTAACATTTTCAAAAAAAAAAAAATAACTGCTAAATTATTTGAAAAATGGGTAGGAATATATCTTCCTACATTATATTACCCCAAAAAAACCAAAAATGTCTTTTCACTTGATTAGGTCCAACATTGGTAAGTAGTGTGCATATAAAAACTAAATCAGAGTCATCATATTTGGACAACATTTTTGTTTTCTAAGTATAGCCAAAAATAAGACCATACACAACTCATCCATTCTTTCTGTCTTGCTTAAGAGAGCCATCGCAATTTTTCGTAGTCTATATGGTTGAAGTAAGTTGAAATACCAGTTTCTGAAATAGTGTATTTTGTTATCTAGACTATTTATTTTCAAGATTTTTAAGGGTTTACAAATCTACTTGATTTGAACCATTTTTGGATCTTAAGATTTTATAATCAGAGATGTAAATTGATTCTCAAGCCATCCTAAGAACCTCTGACATCAAAATTATATTTATCATAAATTTTGGATGTGCACCTTAATTTGAATGTTTAACACCCAATACTAAATGATAACCAACTTTAAACCAAGCGAAACAAATATGATACCAAATTTCAGTACATGTGACCAGCATCAACCATACAAGAATACAATACATCAATACAATTATGGAAAAAGTTTATATAAAGCCGTGCCTCTAAACAATCACAGTGGAGCCCAGCTCAAAAATTTCGCTAAAGAGGTTGTTTTGATGCTTAAATATCTTCAAATTGATCATCTCAATATCAAAATGCATGGACATAAAAAAAGAAATAGAACTCAAGTTTTGGAAATAGTGCATCTTGTACACATTTTTGGACCGTCAAATT